TCATTTAATATTCTCATTTCTCATGTAATGTATAGTTTGTCACGATGACATTACTCCAAGGGATTCCATTCATTTCCTTAGATATATCGATTTTTGCATATTTTGTAACACGCATAATTCATTATATTCATGCTATTTATAAAGTTGGTAATTTTCGGATGAATAAATCCGCTTACTGCGTATGTTGTTATATTTACATTTTAGGTTTCTGGAAATTTAAACAATAAGGGAACTACCATTAGTGATAAGGTAAAATAAACACGATAGAATTCGCGTCATCCATTTTGTTTCAGATCTTTTGTTACAACTAGTGATAACTGATCCGTTTACAAATCTTCTAGCAATTCAATTAATTCGACGGAAAAAATTTCGAAAATCTTGTTTATTGTCCAGAAAATTTTTATATTTATTGTCATTTCATTGACACAGTCAACTAACGTACTTTCATCGCTGGCCTCATTAATCAAATGCCTAATTATGGCTGTTTTCAAGACATAAAATTGGCTGTTTAGTTTGAATATTTTGCATTATATTTGACACTGCAAATGAATCATTCGATTTTATATATTACCAATAAATTTATCACATCTTCATAACAATATCTTTATGGCTTTAACTTCTGACAAAACAATTGAATCGCTCATCGAGATTCATCTAAACTGGTCTGTGAAATAGTCAATCAATGATAAAAATCAATCATTTTCCTCGGAAAGATTTTCCGTAACTGGATTTCCTTCACCAAATTTTCGAACAGCAACAATTGCATATACAGGACCGACATTGAAAGTAAATTTTGTTCCAACTTGATAGTTAACTCCAGTCATCAATGACTCATCAGATGAACAGAACGTACTCAGCGGAACGTCTGGGAATGTATTACTGCAAAAAGAAAATGATATCCATAATTTTATCAATCAGAGAAAAGGCAACGCCAGCAGAATCGTTTACCCTGTCCACTTTTGCTGTGATATTTCCGCAATACACCAATATGTGATTCTGGAAACTGATCATGAATGTCTCGTGGAATACTCCTAATATCCTACCTGAATATCTCTTCGCTATCCTTCGGCTCAGTGCCATTGACCCCAGTAAAATGGAAGGCTATTACTTGATGACTGTTAAGGAAGAGCAATTCGTTCTGCAGAAGAGGGATAATTTTGCACAGTTAGCAAAGTTATAACGAGCATATTTTTGATAAATATCAACAACACGTGAAGCCAGGCAAAAAACACAGTAAATCTTCAAAAGTTTGGAGAATTAACAAGCTTTCAGTGAGAAAATGATTTTACGACACTAACGATTACGAATAAATTGAAGTAACTTAAAAAACATAAAAAACAATCAGAATGAATAAACAAGTCATACCTTCCAGTCCTCAAACTTTGTTTTCAATCTTTCGCTGGTATCATTTTTATATACGACAAGGGTCGATGCGTTTACGTCAGATCGTTGAAGACGTAAATATAGCCTTGCAATACCACCCGATTGTTGTGTGTACTGAAACTAAGATATTTGTTGCGGCAA